GCCAGCGCTGGGATTGTCCTCCTGGCTGGACCCAGTTCCGGAAGGCTCCCGGAGGCAGGAGGTGTGCTAGCTCTCGGTCTGCCCGGGCACAGCTAGGGAAGGGGACTTGGGCATCCGGCGCCAGGTGCGCAGGAGGGGCGCGTTACCTGGGCGCAAGTGCGCGCGCTGGGGCGGTGGAAGTGGGGGGGGGGACTCGAACCCGTGTCCCGGGAACCCCGCGTTCCGACCCCTTTTTTGCTCCGGCCGCTGCCTAGAGTGGACTGGGGCTGAATTCTGCTGGGGTGGTGGCGCTCCTGGGGGGAGGGTGGCGCGGGGGAGGGGCGGTCGTGCGCGCTTGGGGACGGTCGGGGCTGGGCGCACGCGGCGGAGGAGCGCAGCGTCCGTGGATGGGGCGGCTTGTGCTCCCACTCACTCTCTCTCCCGTCCCCTCCCCCCTGCACCCCTAACTCCCCACCCCTCACCCCCGCCCCCGGGCCCGCCTGGGTCCCTCCCCGCGCCGCCGCCGGCCGCCGGAGAGCGCGCAAAGCAGTGCGCTCTCCCCGCGCTTATAAATATCCCCGGCATCGCTCCCGCGGCCGCGCTGCCTCCACCTCCCTCTCCGTTCCCCGGGGCTATGTCCGCCCAGCGCGGGGAGGCGGGCAGCGCCGGAGAGGAGGAGGAGGAGGAGGAGGAAGAGGAGGAGGAGGAGGCTCGCGGTGGTGGTGGTGGCGGCGGCGGCCGCGGCCGCGCGGGGGCTACGGAGCCCGGAACCAGTCCTGCAAGATGCGCTTCGGGTCCCCGCGGCTGGAAGAATGAGCTTGTCCTTCCTCCTCCTCCTCTTCTTCAGCCACCTGATCCTCAGCGCCCGGGCTCGCGAGGAGAAGCGCGCGGACCCCAGAGGGCGACCGGCGGGACCCGCTGCTGCGACCGGCAGGAACCGGGGAGGGGACAGCGACAGTCACAGCGGCGGCAGCGGTGGCGCGAGGTCGTCCTCTTCCAGCCCTGCCTCGGCGTCCCCCGCGGGCGGCCCGGGAGGCGGCTCGGAGCAGGGCCGGTTCTCGGAGCGGAGCCCCTCGGGGCGCAGGACCGGCAGTCTCTACTGCAGGGTGGGCATCGGCTTCCACCTGCAGATCTACCCGGATGGCAAAGTCAACGGCTCCCACGAAGCCAACGTCCTGAGTAAGTTGCTCGCCTTCCCTGCAGGGCTGCTGCGGGGCGGGGGGGAAGGGGGGGTTTGGGGAGGGTCTCCTTTCTTGAACCCCGGTCACCTCCCGGAGACCCGGCAGGTCCGGGACACAGCCGGCCGGGCGCGGGGCGGGCTGGCTGGGGAGGAAGGAAGGAAGGGAAGGAAGATGCCATCTGCGTGGCTCGCTCAGTCGCATGGACCCCTCTCCAGGGGTGGCTGGTGGAAGGGCAGAGTCCTGGGGTGTAAGGTGACCCAGACGTGGGTGCCCAGATGGTTGAGCACCACCGTGTCCCGGCCCCCAAAGACGAGCTCCCAGCCACGCGTGGAGAAACACACACACAAAAAATCTTCCTTCCTTCTCGTCCAATTTCTGTTCTGCCTTCTGCTTAGGAACTGGGCTGCCAGGCATTTTCCACGAGACACCAAACCTTTGCAAAGTCTTCTTCCTTCCACTGCTGAAGTTCTTTTCTTTTCTTTTCTATTTTTTTTTTTTTTTTTGAGACAGAGTCTGGCTTTGTTGCCCAGGCTGGAGTGAGTGCCGTGGCGTCAGCCTCGCTCACAGCAACCTCAGACTCCTGGGCTCAAGCGATCCTCTTGCCTCAGCCTCCTCCGGAGTAGCTGGGACGACAGGCATGCGCCACCATGCCCGGCTAATTTATATATATATGTATGTATATTAGTTGGCCAATTATTTTCTTTCTGTTTATAGTAGAGACAGGGGTCTCGATCCTGCTCAGGCTGGTCTCGAACTCCTGACCTCGAGCGATCTGATCCTCACGCCTCGGCCTCCCAGAGTGCCAGGATGACAGGCGTGAGCCACTGAAGTTCTTTTTTCTTATGCTAGAATTAAATCTCCCATACTTCTCCCCTTCCGCCTCCTGTCATAAACTCGAATTAATGTCACATGTGTATTTGCATGTATGTATATAGTGCACACACACGTGTGTGTAAGCGTGCATCACACACATACATGCATATAGACTGTGTGTGCATGTGCATGCATGTGTGTGTGTATTAGAGTGATAATCCCATATTTCTGCTGGGAAGAAGACCGTGATCTGCAAAACCGGACACATTTAGGGAGGGAGAGGTGAGGAACATTGAAATCCTCAACTCCGGGGCTGCATTTAGCAGCATTTAAGTATTTTGAGACCGTGACACCACTTTTACTAGGACAGTGGCCAGCCTTTGGTGCCCAAGGACAATTAGGAGAAACGTCCCTTGCTTTAGGAGAACGACAGAGGAGGTTCTGTTGGGCATGGGCGCAAAAATTCTGTAGGACTTTTTTTTAAAAAAAAAAAAAAGCAAGCAAGTTTTAAATTGCCTGAGTTTTCCCTTTGGCTCTGTCCCCTCCTCCTTTCTCGTCTTCTCTTCCTTTCCATGTACCATGTACGTTTCCAGATGGTCACAGCCAGCTCCTCTGGGTTTCCCTGGGGCTGCCAGCCAGTGGAGGGTAAAGATGATTCTGGGCCGTGAGCAGGACTGCCGGGGCTTGCCCTCCTGAGGGTCAGATGGCTCTAGCAGCAGCGGGACTGGGCCGCCAGACCAGAGCCATCCCTCTGAGATTGTCCAGGGAGGGCGGAGGAATTGGGCAGGCAGACTTCGCTCCTGGTGTCAGCCTGGCGTCAGCTCTCCCATCGTGCCTCACTTGCTTGGCAAGTGGAGCAAGTCAGTTGGGGACCAGGGACTTCTTGGATGCCAGCCACTAGCCACTTGGACGCCAGGCTGGTCACCTCTCTCCGGCCGCGAGGGTCCCCAGGAGCCCGGCTGGAGGTGGGCGCACTGGCCATCCTTTTCCCCAAGAGTGAAGGGGGGCCTAGCTGGCGTGGAAGAGCTGGTGATTGCTGCTGGGAACGAATCAGTTGCATGCCCGCCCCCTCCAACCCTGCGCCTGTCCTGGTCTCTCTGGCTACGACATTCCAGCTGGCTTTGGCGCATGCACGCACACACGTGGCGTGGCGTGGCTAGGTGGCTTGGAGCTCCCAGCTGGAGAGAAAGCACACGCTGCGCACACCCCGGCGACTCCCAGGGCCTCCCGAGCCACGCTGCTCATTAGAGGGACCCGTTGCCACGGTTCAGAGTTCATGTCACTCTGCCAGGCGTCCTCAAACTACGGCCCACGGGCCCTATCCGGGTGTTTTTGCTCTTTTTTTTTTTTTAACTTCAAAATAAGATATGTGCAGTGTGCATAGGAATTTGTGCATAATTTTTTTTTTTTTTAAACTAGAGTCCGGCCCTCCAATGGTCTGAGGGACAGTGAACTGCCCCCAGTTTAAAAAGTTTGAGGACCCCTGCATCTGATCAAATAACTTGCCCACCTTTTTGGTGACCAAGTTCAAGGTCTGTTTTGGGGCCGAAGGGGGATTTTCCGAGATTTCCGGAGTAGCCGGTGTGTATGTCTGTGTGGGCATTTCTGTTTATTTGCCCTTCTCGGTTTTTTGTCCCAGTCCGAGGTCTTTATTCCATCAAACATCAAAGCCTATTTATTCCCCCACTTGCAGCAATCTTTCCTTCTTTCTCTTTACAGGAAGGCTTTCTCTATTCTGCTCTTGTTGTATGTAGTCTGTCCAGGAAATCAGTACCAACAGAGGACAACTTCTGTGTGCCCCAAAAAAAGACCCCAAATTATCAGGCAGTAAGCAGTGGAGTGGGTTTTGGTGTGAGACAGATCTCTGGAGGTGAGGGTCATTCCCAAGATAATTCACCCCCTTCTCTACAATGATACTGCAAAAAGACAAATATTTTTGGAGCTTAGGCCTTGCCAGAGAGAGGAAGTCGGAGGAAAGCAAAAGATGGGAAATGAGAACAGATTATTATTATTTTTTTAAAAATGCATGCAATTAAAGAAGACATTGCCCACCATCCATTACTTCCAAAGCACATTTTAAACTTTCAAATCCACACCGAAAGACATCTATAAGAGAACAGGGATGTTTCCTTCATCATCGTGGGCCTAACTAAAAGTTAATGTAACTAACTTTTTCCTAATTCGTCCTTTTTTTTTTTTTACAACGGCCCTTCAGAAATTTAGTCTCTGTGTCTTTCTCATGATTTGCTTTCCTCCAAAAACCCATGCATGCACCTCATATAGGATCCCTGCCTCACTTTTACAAATGAGAGTTTGGTTGCTTTTGGGTTAGTTTTGTTTGTTTGCTTTGCCTTCCATAGATATTTTTTTCCCAAAAAGGAAAGCATAATTTTAAATATATATTATATATATATATATATATATATATATATCAACCTTTGTGATGTCCGGAGTGTGTCCAATACTATATAAAGTTTTGCTGCCGTTGCTCAACGAAGAATTTATGGAATGTCTTGTGTTTAGCAGGATGCCATGTGATTTGGAAATTTAAAATGGGTCTCTCTCCTATTGTAGATGTGAGGAGAGAAACCAGCCCGCTAATTGCATTTACCTCTTTGAAGATATCACCGGCCTTTTTCCTGACATGCACGTAAGCTAAAGTGCTGCTGACAGCTTTTGAGGAGGCATTTGTCTGAGTCTCACGAGAGAGACTGAGAGAGCTGTATCAGAGAGACCAGGGAGGATACCTGAGTTTTATTTCAGCATCTAATTCTGTTGTCTGTGAGTTAGCAATGATAGGAAACAAGTCTTTTTTGTTGCAAGCCTGCCACTTCGGAAAAAGAGTCCAAAGCTTTGCCGTGAAACTTCATTTGAGCAGATCCTTTTTAACCCAATAATAATGTGTAACATTTGTCCGATAGAACGAATAAATATTATATATATGTGTGTGTGTGTGTGTGTGTGTGTGTGTGTGTGTGTGTGTGTGTGTGTTTCC